CTCAATATTCTGGGTTCTGTTTATCTCTCATCTAATGGTTTCCAAGTGTCTCCATAACCTCAAAGTAATGAGTTTACATTTATTTAGGACATATGGAAATGTTTAAAAATTAACTTATTGGGTTTTTTCACTTTTCAAATAGGATAATTGCATTAAAATAACTACCTCCTACTTATTCCAGTTATAAACATCATTTTCCTTTTCTAATCTCAGCAGAAAATAAGAAAGGTTGTCCAGAAGAGAGCAGTAGTTTATTCTGCATCTTGTCTCTCAGACTCAGTGCTATTGTACTAGAGATCTCAAATACCCAGGTGTCTGCATCAGGAATATTAAAATTCCTGTTAAACTAAAAAAAAAAAAAAAGAGTTACACTTACCCCTTCCAGACAGTAGGTCTGCACAGGGCTAAGATCACATGGCAGTGGCAGAGGCCTTCTATTAGTACCACTTACTGCAGATCCAGGTGAGATCACTTGAAGGAGGGAGCAAAGGTAATTTTCTGCCACTTATCAGCCTCCTGATCTTAGCAGCGATTGGGGCTGAATAGCATAGAAGAGGGAAAGTTACTCTAATGTGCATAGGCTGTGATTATTGCTAAGGCTCTGCCCTCTGCAGAGAAATGCTCCTCTCCCCTTCAGAGCTTCTTCCCTTCTGGCAGCTCAAGGGGAGGTCAAGGCGGAAGGAGCTGACCTTGAGTCTTGCCCTCGTATTTTTTCCAGTGTTTACAAGCATCTAGCAACAACGCTAATTTCTCGTCTTCTTTGGCAATGTAACACTTTGTTGCATTCCAGAAAACTCCACGTATTTGTTATACCTGTACCATCCATTTTCTTGTCACAGGCTCGCGTGGCTGCTGCGAAGGATTTGCCTGTACACTGGCTGTTAGTGTCGGCAGCTGTCATGCAGCAAAAGCCACCTTTGACTCTTTTATTACAAGTCCTGTGCATTACTGGAGATGGGCTGAGGGAGACAGTTCAGGATCTGTGGTGTGCTCTTTGCTTGCATGTATAGAAATATATCTTATTGTTCTGCACCACCAAGTGGCCACATTGAGCAGATACTGCAAGACACCTTTGGATCCAAGCTTGCTACATTAACACAGATGGGTTTGGTTATGTTATGGAAGTTCATACTGGCCCGAACTAGCAACGAGGAAAAAAACATTTGAATATAAAGCCTCATGTTTTGAAAGAAGGAAGTGTCACATTTTCTCCGGCATGGTCCAAGGTGTTCCTGAAGGTGTATTGTCAGAACTACTTCAGTTCTCATGTCAAATGGAGCTCTTTGGTGGGCTGTCACCTGAAACTCAGGCGTATTTTAAGTATTTTGAATTAGTAACTCAAAACTGGCAGATGGTTCTGTAAATATGAGGCCAGTATGTCTGTGTATCACATGAAGTGATTGTGTCAGAAGTAGGAAGAGCATGCACATATCTTTGTTCTTTACCATTAGAGTTTAATCCCTGTATCTTTATAAACTAAAAATAAAACCTGGCATTTCATCCAGAAAAATGCATTACATGGTCTAAATAGGAGCTATTTTCCCATTCTTTTGTACCCTAAGTTCCTTGTGCTCAGGAAGGTTCAAAGTTGAACTCTTAAGCAGTCACTCCAGAGGTACAAATCAGAGCAAGGTGTGTTGCTGGCCAACATCACCTCTCCAAAATCTCCACATGATGTAACAGCTCATCCCAGCTGACCTGTACTGAAACCTCTTCCATCCAGCTCTTCACAAGTTCCCATTTCCCCAGGACCTGTGATTGCAGGAGATGGGAAGAAGGACCTACGCTGGCCCTTACATACTGCTGAAATGCTAATGTGGTTGTGTACATGCTATCCTAAATCACATATATACAATATGCTAATACGATATACTTCATACATCAGCCATGTTGATAGCATGAAAGAAAAAGGTGTTAATGAGTTTGGTCACTGGCTGAGGATCTTAAATAATAATTTCATAAATAGTATTTCTTTAAATAATATTTTACTTAAGTCTCATTTCAGACTGTCTCATGTGCTCAGCAGTCTCTTGCTGAAAATCTTTGTTACCTAGATTTTTATGGGCCACGTGGATAGGTACTCACTGCGAGTCAGGACAGCTCAGTGCTTTATGCCTTTACGTATTTCAATTGGAGTCAGGCTTTTAACCTGCCTAAATATCTCAATCGGTCCCTTGGTTTCTGAGTGTTCAGGTCCCTAAATATTTTTCAGTGCCCAGCCCTGTAACCTTATTCAGACAGCATAATTTCACCTGTGTCCCTGCATCTGGAAATTCGTGGTTCCCTATTGCATGTGTCACTTTGGTTCTGTGAATTGAGCCTTGGAGACCTTCAAAGAAAACTCTCTGACTTGGGCACGTTTGGGGTTGGACATAGGCCATTCACGTAGAGCCTTAAAGCTTGCGTTTCTTTTGAAAGTGGAATTTTTTAAGTCCCTCGAAAGCCCGGAGGTCACAGTAGCAAGCATCAGTCCTGACCTGTGTGTGCTCCCTGATGGCCGAGGAACTGAGAAGAAAAATTGGGATGGAGGCACTCAAAAGGCTCGGAGGGGTTTTATGTATGTGCCTTGCCATTCCTGATGTAATGCACGGCACTATGGGAGAAATGTAGCAGGGATAAAAGCAGATGTTGAAAAACTAAACATGAATGCTTGAAATGTAAGTGTGCTTCTATTTAAATAAGAACAAATTAAGAAGGAAGAATGAAGAGGAAAGACGTTTGTCTGGAGTGCAGTGATGGCTGGAGACCTCTGCCATGATCAGAGCGACATTGTGCTGAGTGCACTGTGAAGAATTAGCAAAAGATTGCACCAGGAGGACCCGCACACCAAATAGGTAAATCAGTCACATATGATCAGCCGCATTTTACAGCTGATGCTGAGAAATAGAGAAAGACAAAGCGACTTGTCTGAGAATTGATTCCAGATTTGTCCAGGGCTCTGTGCACATCTCCACCTTTGATAGCAGTGCCACACTGGGAGAAGAAAGCGTTGGCTACCACCGAGGAGTGGGAGGTCACAAATTGGATGTCGTGTTGTGCTGCCGGTGGGATGGATCCTCGCTTCGCCAGTCCGTGGCCTGCAGTAGGGATCGCAAAGCACGCTGTGGGTGTCTGTGTACCTGGCTGACTGCAGTACCAGTTACTGCCCTTGTCACGGGAGCCGGAAGCTTTACAGACCACCTCTAGCAGACCAAAGATACAGAATAACGTGACAGATTTGTCTTCCCCCATTTTTGTGCTGCTTGCTTATTTCCCTTTTATGCCTCAGGACACAGTGAATGTCTTTCCCCCAAATCGTCGCCAGCATTGTGTCAAGCAGGCAGCACTGTATGCTTTGCTCACCTTCTCTGTGTCATCCATAGGATCCATATGTCATTCCTGAGATTAAACCCTGGCACCATTTGGAGTCAATGAGAGTTTTGCCAATGATTTTCAGGGCAATGAGGATTTCATCCTTTGTTCCTCCTGTGCTGGCTGGGCTAACGATGTTCAATTAGAAACTGCTTTTTGTTGTAGTGCAGTCAAGAGGATTTTTGCCAATGATGTGAATGAGCATTGGATAAAGCTTATGGCTAAATCCAGTCCTTATGCAGAAATCCATGGATCCTACTGAATTGCTTTTCTCCCAGTGAAATTAATGGGAGCTGTATGAGAACATCTAAGGGAAGATTTAGTTCCTGTTTGTAACAATATGTTACCCCCCTGATACTGGGCCTGCTTTGAAATGTTTATTGTTAAATCCGTGTATTTTTGGTTCTATCTCATTAAGAACATAATACAGCCTTGGAAAGTACATTCTGAAAGGGTATTGCAACAGGATTGGGATTACTGTTTGTGAGACAGTTTTAACTAGGAGGAAATTTCAAATTCAATTTACAGTAATGTCAAAGCACAATTAATATATAGGCAACGATAAGGGGAACATGCAGAAGTACACATTGATAGCACTACATCAACAAATAAACTTTTGGTGCTAGTAATTAGGTACACAAGATTATTATATGTTTAATTGACTAAAGTGACAATTTGGAATTACATCTAGTCACATTTAATTGGATTTGGAATCTCTAGAGGAAAGGAAACGGAGAGCAGTGTGGAGAGGCAGCCATAAAAGCAAACTGATTTTCTAAAGTCTGTTAAGACTCTGCATTAATATCCATTGCACAATAGTTTTTTTAATATCCCTCAGTCTAGAAAGAGTAATGCAATGATTGTCACAGACAGTGGGAGTACTAAAGCATACTCAATTAGGTAGCAAGATAGCTGATTACTTTTGGTTTGGGGTTTTTTTTTAAGATATAGTTTAATCAAAGGTGAACGATGTCTGAGTTTGCCATAGACAAGTGATATTCTCAGACTGCCAAGCTACAGCATGTTATACATGTTGATGCTGTCCTAGAAGAAATGTACTTACATATAAGATATTTTACCCACAAATACTTTAAGGTAAAAAAAGAAAAGCCAGACTAAAAGGTTGTGTAACAGTCATTAAATATTTGCTTGGATTAAAATATGGAAAAGCTATTAAAAGAAAATGTAGGGTTATTTGCTTGCAGATAGTTTAACAAGCTGAAAAATGTTTACTAATGCTTGTCTTAAAGTTGGACAAAGACTGAGAGTTATGTGTAATCTTTTGATACAAACCTCATGTTACACTCTTTAAATATTACCTCCTTTAAATACTGCTATATACATCCTTCTCTCCCTGTACACTCATTTATTCTGCTTTTGTCATCAGGAGCGCCATGATTGCTGACTATATGTACTGGCTGACGGGAGGCACTGAGCAGCATATAAGCAAGCTCATCAAACAGTATTGGCAGGTAAAAATTGATAGGCCAACGAGGAAGGAGGTGCCCATCTCACTATTAAGACCAAAATGAAGGATTACTGCTTAAAAGACTGCCGACAAAGGTAGCTCTTGGGCATATCAATCAACAGGACACTATATAGTACTACTGTATTTATAATGAAGTAGATTTTCTTGGACTAATTTTAAGGGCAAAATTCAAGGTTGTTAACCCTTGGCTCATACTTCAATTTTATGGACTGCTATAAAATTTAATTCTGGATACTGTATAGTCCCCTAAGCTATTTTTTGTGAAGTCTTCCTACCTTAGTGACACTTTCCTTTTGCAATTTGCATGATACTAATCCTCTGACACATTTCCAAACTCTTCAACCGGAAGGGGAGGAAAAAATGACTGTAAAAAATGGTTTCAGAGGAACCTAAAGTGCTCTATGAAGGCTGGCCAGATAAGACCCCGGTCTACAAAGATTACTTATGTGGGGAGTAGGCCATTGACTTCAATGAGACTCATCTCTTGAGTGGTACTTATTTGAGATGGCTGTTCAGCCACATCAGCACAAATTCAAGTTTAAGGGTACCCCCTCCTGCTCTGAGGAGAGCTCTCACACACTTGGAGGTGAATGGATGCTAGATCCTTTGCTAGGAGAGGCTTATTGCTGCAAGATCTTATCACTGCCCGTGGTGTCCCAGCCTTCACAGCCCTGGTTTCAATGCAACCAAATTGCATTTCAGAGGCACCACAGTGTTTGGGCCTCAGGCAGTGGAAGACCCTTCTGCCTCCCAGAGTGGACCTCGCCCTCAGGTCCTCCTTGTCCATACAAGGAATTTAATGATACCAGGAACAATATATGTCCATTGCGATAAAATTTCAGAGTTTGATTCTGATCCCATTTATTTTGGGTTTATTCTGTGAGAACATCTGTGACACCTGTACTTTATGTGGAGTGGTGCAAAATATGTCTGACATAAGCCAGAGTAGTAAAGATCAGAATCTGGTCTTTTACTTTTACTCACACAGTAAATTCTTCCTTTTTAAAACTATTACTGGTTGCATTCTTATTGGTAAAATGGAACAAACCTCAGTCCTGGGAGCTGCTGAATTTCAGTACTGCTGTGAGTGCAAAGTGCATCTCATTCAGAGAATTACCCACTGGGCTAGTGTTTGCAGTGCCTGTGAACTTTCTTATATGCTTTCCAGCAGAGAATTTCTTCTGTACAGAACAGTTTGATTTTTTCCCCTACTGGGTCAGACTCATTTAAAATCTTGAGTTCACAAACAGGTTTTACGAAGGGGTCATTTCTTCGAATGGAATGTCTTTTTTTGTCTCTTAACACTGGTATCCATTGACTTCCCTTCTTGATGTCATGGACATGAAGCTTCAAAGAATAAACCTTTAAAGGAGGAGCTGTCACAGCTGTCCTCTCCCCCAGGGGTTCAGAGTGTCCTGCTATGTAACAGGGCCAAAAAAGTGGCATGAAGGACAAGAGTCACCATGATGCCTTCTCACAGAGTCTAAATCAGAAGCTGTGGTTGGGCTAAGGTGAGAATGAACCAGACCAGAAGTAGGGCTGCTGAATTGCTTCTAGCCATTAGCGTCATCATACAATATTAGAATCACCATGCAAAATTATTTTGGGCATGGTAGGACTCTGGTTCATCTCTGCTTCATTCCAGAGCTCGCAGTTCATTTCTCTTCCTGATGGAGAGTTCATGCGTGGGTTTCCCTGGACCCCCATGGTACCAAGAGGCACCACCATGCTGTTTATGCCCCATTCCCACTCCTTCTCTGCTGTTCGCCTGAACCTGAGCTGCTGTCATCTTTGTCTGCAGAAGCTTTGAAATGTCAGTAGAGATCTAACCATTTGTTTGATCCCCCACCGTGCTTGATTTTCACTGGGAGACAGAGATTGCTCTGCAATTTTGTGCCTTTTGTGCGTATGCCTTAGCGTGGGCTAGGCTAAGGATTCAGCGATATCTATATGCTGACACACACGCAGTAGAGGCAGCTGGGTGCCCAGAACCGCTCCCACTCAAGTTAATAGCTAGCACTTAAGAAACACGGTTCATGAAGATATATCCCCAGCACCAGTAACAACCTTTTCCTTCCTGAGCGGATGAGTTCTGTGCAATCAGCATCAGGAGTGACCTCAATGTCATTAGAGCACACAGGAACAATTATGCAGTATGATGTAGCATGTGACACTGCACTGGGACTTTCCACCACAGAGAGACCAAGCAGAGGTAACATACTCTTTTTTATTAATATTCTCTCTATTTCACCGTGTAAAGCTCAAAATAACTTGTCACGACTATACATGCTCATGTGCCTTTGTAACCAAAGCAACAGCTATTGATGCACGCTTTTCTTGCTAACTACTCCTCTGCCCCAGAACTCGCTAGCGTTGGCTCACAACCGTGAGCAAAATTTTCTGAGGAGGAAGGGAATAGATGGTGAACAGGACGGTTTGTGTTTTACTTTTGTGGAGAAAGATTTTTAGATTAGATATGTCACTCTTTGCTTTGATCAGTGGGTCATGTATATAATCTTCTGGTGCATCACTGACGACTTTTGTTTCTTCTTTTCATGATTCTTTTAACTGCTGAAAAAGGCTTTTCCTCCTCACAGCCTGTCTTCTACTTCTTTCATAGCTTCAAAATGTTGTACAGACCACTCAAATCCTTCAGCTGACTTCTTTACTGCAAAAAAATCAGGCCCTTAATTCACATCTGCAAAGCTCTTTATTATTTATCCTGCTTCTGAATTACTGGTTTTTCTCTCCTGATCTGTTCCTCATGCTCAGAGCAGTCTTTATCTTGTATCTCCTTTGGTTTTCTTCTCCTGATTTTGGTTTTATACTTTCCTTTGAACTTCTTCTATCCCAGATATCAACTGCCAGGAGTCCTCTTTCTTCAAAACTCTTAAAACATCCTCCTCATTATTACCTTTTACATATTCCTCCTTCTTCAGCAGTGATCTGTTCCATGTGACAGTGTACCTCTCCTTAGGCACACTGCAAGGTTTGTACTCTCAGATTTGTAAGGCCAGATGGGCTCATATTGACAAATTATCTGACTTCCTGCATAAAAACACTCCAGAATTGCACTCTTACATTCTTGCATCAGTGCCAAAAGAGGAAAGTAGACACTGGGTTTGAGAAAGTTATGCAATCCTCATTTAAACAGTTTACTAATAGAATATTTACCATAACCCATCTAAAAGAAGATCTGTTACATGGTTGTCCCCTGGTTTTCCCCCCAGTTTACAAGCTGGGATCATACTTGTCCAGTCCAAACTTCCAGCAATTTGTGTTATGCATTCATCTCTGAAAGCTTAAAGATCCTTTAGTACTTGTTATCTTCTCCTTGTATATGTACCTATGGATCATGATCAAGGCAACTTTAAATATTCTTTTTGATTAGCTTTTTGATTAGCTTTCTTTGATTATCCCCTTTAAAGTAAATCATCTATTTCTGGATCTTATGTACAGTGATATGTAATATCTAATGCCCTGTGTTGGTTTTGAATATTAATACCCACCTTCCATTCCACTCTTGAGATAAAGGTATAGTGCTGATCAGAGGTGAAAAAGTAATTTGCAATGGATAATGTTATTCAGTAAGTTGGTCCTTTTTCTCTGTTCAAATATTTTATTCCATGGATTGAAAATATACATTCCAAGTTAAGATATAATCAAATGGATGGGCTTCTTTTCATAACCTACTACAGAATATGCACTGGGTGATTTGTGTGTTGGCTGTTAGATTAAAAATAGGCGAGTTAAATAGAATTCATCACAATAAATAATAATGTGAAAGTTATTAAATGTATTATGGTAGATATTTGCAGAGTGGTAGCAGCAAGACAAAGTTTAAACCTACTTATTACTATAGCAGGTAAGCTCCCTAGCATTTATTGTCAGCAATGCAGTTTCTCAGCTGGTAATAGCAAAACAAACAATAGACTTGAGATATTTCATCCCATAGAAAGAGTCCCTCTCCAAACTGTCCAGTTTTACTCACACCTTTGTAAACTATTTCCACTGGCTAAAAACTGTGCAATATACTCTGGATGTTTCGTTCCATGAGTAAAAATATATCACACGCATACTACAATGTCAAAAATGCCCAACATTGTCAAACATGGACTTTGCAAATATCTTGAAAGTCACCGCCTGATTTCACCAATATCTGTCACAGCTATCTTAACATAAAGTGCCTTTATTACCTAATTTATAAACATCTCAGGCTTAACTCATTAGCACACTACAAATTTAATTGCTTTTATTATTCTATTGTGAAAACCATGTGGCCTATTTTATACTGAAGGTTTGGCTCTAGCATCCATTACTCACTTACACGCAAAGTCAATCCCACGTAGCCAGTGTCTTACACTAAGTGCCATTGCACCAGCAATGCATATGTTGCAGAAACTAACAGGACCCCAGGAAGGCATTTTAAAGCTTGTAGGTTTGTGTCTGTACACTTCCATAACCATCTGTACTAAAAGCCTTAATTCCATAATGTAGCCAATGTCTATCTGCTACAGCTCAAATGGAGACCTTTAATTTGCATTGGAGCAAACTGGGCTTTTAGCTTTGGTTCCAGTTCAACCCCAGTGTTTTGGCCAAGATTGCACCCATCACAGAGCTGCTCTTAGCACATTGAAAATACTGGCTCTGTGACTGCTGCACCCAGAGCTCACAAACTTGTGTTTCTGAGAATACTTCTGTCAGCTAAACTCAATGTCACAGAGAAAGCTTCCAGTAGCACATGCGTTGGCTGACATGGAGGTTTAGGTATTCAGACATTTGCTTTGCTCTCTCATTGCTGTTATGAACATCAGGTGCTTCCATTTCAGATATCTGGGCTGTTGCAAGTACAGACATCACACAATAAAGCAAATGATAACCCAGCCCTGCAAGGTGGCTGAACACCTACCGTGCAGCGATGAACGCTGTCAACTCCTTTAGAGCTCAGCTTTATCTCACACCTTGGGGGTGACGATCCAAGGC